ACTGGTCGCACATTTTGGAACCACTTGGTCCTCCTTGTTATCGTCGGCAGATACTCGGTGATCCACCTTTGCCAGATCCTATCCAATGTGTGCTGCATCATGTTCCAACTGCTCCGCAATGACACTCCTTCGCTTACAGGCTGCTTTATCGGTTGTTGTACTCCAGTTGAACTTAAGGCCGAGAGTTGATCATTTTTTCCGCTTCTGCAAAGACTGTCACCAGCGATTCGTCATCCAGCTTACGTTCCGTGGGAACCATGACCAAAGCCGACTTGATGGACCGAACCATCCGTTCCCAGCAGCCTCCCATGTGTGGTGCTGAGGGTGGGTTGAACCTCCACTACGTATAGGTGTCCGTGAAGGTACTGCTTAACTTCGCATTGATTCCCTCGATTTCCCTTTTCAGCTCCCGGCTGACCCCGACAAAATTGGTACCGTTGTCGGAGTAGATCTCTTGAGGGACTCCACGTCGCGCAATGAACCTGCGCATTGCTTTTTTGCACGAATCGGATGACAGGCTGCTTGCTACCTCGATGTGTATGGCTCTAATAGTCAAGCACGTGAATACCACACCCCAACGTTTAGCTACGCTCCGACCAATTTTTACTAAGTACGGCCCGAAATAATCGACCCCGATGAAAGTGAAGGCACGTACATGCGGCGTTAATCTTACCGTTGGTAGCGGTCCCATCTTCGGTGCCACTGGAACGGACTTGTACACTCGACACCACATGCAGCGAGTCTTCGTCAGGCGTACGCGTGTCCTCAACTGAGATATGCAAAATCTTTGGCGAATTTCGTTCACCACTGTTTCATCGTTGGCATGACGAAAGTCACGATGATACCAATCCAGCAGTAGCATCACCACACGATGATCATGTGGTAGGATGATCGGGTATCTTGCATCGTACGACAAATACTCTGCTGCACCGATCCGACTATCTACTCGAAGGATTCCGTGCTCATCCATTATCGGCGACAGCTTCGCAATTTTACACTCCGCCTTTTGCAATTCCTCTCGGCTTAATTCTTTCGCTGTAACTCGAACACTACCCGTGGACGCTCGACGTAGGTTGTCCAGGAATCGATGGACATACGCAATGCATCGCTTCAAACGCTCGAACTTAGCGAACCGTTCAAATTCAACTGTTGGCTTGACGATGAAATGCGGACAGACGAAAGCTGGTCGAAGTTCTTCGTTTGTATCTTCCACGTTTTCTTCTAACCACTCCCCGGCTTGGTCTTACAGGAATGCAGGTCCGCGATACCACCGGCTTTCGATTTCGGTTGATGGCCCTTTTCCCCACTTTGTTGCTTCGTCAGCTACGTTGGTTTTCGTTCCTATCCAATTCCATTCATCCACCGTAGACAAACTAAGGATTTCGTTGACTCTAAAAGCGACAAATTGGCGGTAGCGACGTGAATCCGACTTTATCCAAGCAATTACTGTTGTAGAATCACTCCAGAAAAAGGTGCGAGTTATCTTCACGGAATGATTATCTATGATGGCTTGTCTCAGACGAGCTCCTAAATATTAAGGCCGCCATTAGCTCTAGTCGCGGCATCGAAAGTGTTTGCAGGGGTGCTACTTTGGTCTTCGATGAGACAAGGGTACATCGAACTTCTCCCCTGTCGACGATTCGGAAGTATGCCACCGCAGCAAAGGCCTTATCGCTCGCATCGACGAAAATGTGGAGTTGGAGCGACTCGTAGCTGGCTGGCATGTATCCTGGAAAATAGCAACGACTGATCTTCACCTTAGTCATCTCTCGTAGAGCTATCAACCACTGATTCCAGCGGCAGAATATATCAGATGAAACCTTTTCATCCCAGCCGATGTACCGTGGATTATAAATGCTGCAATCAAACCGAGGGGATCGTAGAGACTCATCACTACGCTCAGTAGCTCCCGTTTAGTCAGAATAACTTCACCGTCTATGAGCTGCCGCAGTTCCTCACGAAAGTGCAGACCAAAGGAGAATACATCTTCTTCTGGAGACCAAATCATTCCCAGCAACCGCTGGATCCTACAATCTTTACCCACCGCAAATCGCTTAACCGCAGCAGGATTGGCTTGTTCGATGCCCTCAAGGACTTCCGAGCTGTTTGATATCCAGTTTCGGATATATAAATCAGCCTTCCCGTGAATCGCTGCCACTTCGCTCGCTAGTTGAACCGCTTCCTTGATCGTGTCAACGCTGTCGAGGTAGTCATCGACGTAATGCTTGTTTTGTATTGCATAGGCCGCTCTTGGATACAGCTTCCCGTGTTCTGCTGCATTTAGGTTCTTTACGAACTGCGATTGAACGGGTGAGCAGGTCGCTCCGAATATGGCCACGTCGGTTACCATTATCTTGATAGGCAGCTCCGGAGAATCCCGCCACAAAAACAGTAGAGCACTGCGGTCGACAGCGCGGATAATAATTTGGAGGAACATCTCCATGATATCCGCCGATATTGCTACTTCGCGTTCACGGAACTGAAATAGAACAGCCAACAGTGAAGTCAGAAGGTCCGGGCCTTTCAATAGCTGGTCATTTAGTGAAATGCCCTCGACTTTAGCCGCCGCATCCCAGATGAGACGAACCTTGCCGGGTTTGTGTGGATTCACCACGATACCGAGAGGCAAGTACCACGTACGTCGTAGGTCGAAGCCATTCAACTCGTCTTCGGTTGCTTCGTGCACATATCCAAGCTTCGAGCACATAGACAAGAATTCTGCTATCTGCCAGCGTACAGTATCGTACAATGCTGGATGCTTCTGTAGCCGTTTCTCCAGACATCTTAAACGCTTTTCTGCCAGGTAAGCTGTCCGGTAGCTCGATATAGTCGTGTTTCCACAACAACCCTGTTTCGAACTTTCCACTCTCAGTCCTTGCTGTAGTCTCTTTCAATATCTTTCGGGCTCGTTCCGCTTCGACACCTTCCAAATTAGGTGCCAACGCAATCCCGAGGCTCTCTAGCGAAAAGAACTCCCGAACATATTCGTGTAAATCAGCGGTCGCAGTATGAGCGCAAATATGCATCTGCCGGTGTTTCAGCTGTTCTCCCCCTTGTATGATTCCATATACGGCCCAGCCAATACGAGTCTTCGATGCCATAGGTTCTTGTGGACGACCTTCTCGCAGCTTCAGCGTGGCAAGGAGATGCGAATTGTTGAGTCCAATCAGTATCCCTGGAGTAGTAGACTTGAAGCTCTGTACAGGCAACTTCGTCAGGTGTTTGTACTGGTTTGTCATCTCATCGTAGTTCAGGGATTGCTCTGGTAGCCCTAGACCATCCACTGTGAAGGCTCCTCCGAGTTTGAAACGCTTGTTGCTGCCCTGTGCGGAAATCTCCATCTGTACCATACGCGCGTCCGATATATTCTTGTTTATGCCGCTAGTCCACTGGATGCAAAGTGGCTCCGTTTGCCCGTCCAGACATAGAGAATCAGCAACTGTGCGTTCCACTAAAGTCACTGATGACCCGTCGTCAAGAAAGGCAAACGTGTTGACCTTGCCGTATTTTCCGTATAGTGTGACAGGAAGCACTCGAAATAGTGTAAGTGGAGCTGATTCTGATGCACAGTTACCGTAGCATTCGTTGTCCGGTCGGTTGTGCTTGAGTCCGCCGATGGTTCGTAGTGCAGCAAACGATGATGTAACTTGGAGCATCCGTTAACTCCGCATGCGTCTCCTTTGCATGGCCAACGAGGATGTGGCTTCAGACACCGTCGGCAAAGTTTGTGCTCCTTCACAATGCTCCAACGGTTATCAAGAGCGAGCCCCTTAAATTTTGAGCACTCACCAACTTGATGATTTAGCGCATTACACGCTGGGCATTTCTTGATATCTTCTGGTCTCTTTCCACTCACATTCACGTATCGTTCCTTCCTTCCCGCACTATTATCTGCATTGGCCGCCGACGTGGAACCGTCTCTCGTCGTCGTCGAGTGCGCGTTCACGAAAGCTTTCTCCTTGGTTCTAGCACGTTCATCTCTGGGATTCTTCTGTTGAACTGTGAATAGCGACACGCTGCTGGTTGCTGATGCTACACGGGTCATGTATTCACTGAAGACATTGAGATCCACCACCGGAAACTGTTGTTGATACATCGCCCAGTTGAACTTAACGCAATGTGGGATTTGACAGATGCCAATGCAGCCCAACCGCCTTCAGATGCCCGCACAGATTCTGTACGGCCAAACCAAAATTCACCAGTGTTTCCAGCTTGTCAGGTTTTGGAGGAGGAGTAGCTCTTATTTTTGTAACCATGGTATGCACGATCTGCTCTGGACGTCCGAACAATATCTGCAACGTTGACACCACCTGCGGAACCGTGGATGGATGAAGTAAAAAGCTGCTCACTGCATCTCTAGCGGCTCCTTTCAATGCATGTTGAAGACGAAGAAGGTTCTCAGAGTCTGAATGTCCACAGGCTTCCGAGGAATGTTGATAGCTGCTAATAAAGAGCGGCCAGCGGCTTTACGTCCCTTCCGAAGGAAGACGTGATCAGAGTACAGGGTGCCTTCCATTCATTTTGACTAAACAAATGTTTTATGAAATTATACAGTAATAAGATATTATGATGATATTTTGTATGTGTAAGTAATAAGAAAAGATTGTAAAGTTTGTGTTTCACATATCAAACCTGCAAATTTAGTTTTTACAGAGTCGCAATGTCGATCTATTTATAGATCAGCATTTTTTCTTTCTTTTATCGTCTCTTACCAGAAATTGGGAACGTAAATTATGTTTTCCATATCACTAGAATGATCTTTGGAATATCGTAAACATTTTGTTTTCAAATAAAGTAAGAATAATCTTTGGGTTACTCTTGGAAAAATCGCACATTGGCTTGAAGTAAAAAACGAGAATGACGATCAGATCGCACTTGGCAGTGATTTAAAAAATTATCGAACAAACTATTTTCTCTAAAGCGTTTCACACTGGATGATGAACACAATTGTTGTGATGAATTCAATGAAAAATATAAAATCCATCGTTAGTTTGACTCACCTTCATTATCTATGATTGCTGGTGAAGCACGAACGGTATAGAAGTACTTGACCATCGCCTCGTCGCCTTCGGCCGCCGCTATATGCAGCGCCGTTTGACCATCGCCGTTCTGGAGGTCCACATTCGCACCGTAATCCAGCAGGATACGGGCCATCTCGACGTCTTTCCGTCGGGCGGCCAGGTGCAGTGCCGTATCGCCATTGTTGGTCGTGGCCTTTTTATTCGATGAGGGAAAATTAGAAACGAAAAAAAAAAATAGATAACAGAGTTAGTAAGCTTGCAATTGTAACACTTTCACTGATCCGGATTTTACATCATCTACTACATCGAGGATGATTCCCCATCGCCGCCGCATTTTGTGCCAATTCGGTTCTTATTCCAGTCGGGTGCTGCAAGTACAGATCACTTCACGAATTTAATCAACTGATTGAAAACATTTTAACATTTTTAACATTTCAGCCACACCGCCGTCGAGTCACCACACACATCAGTACTGGTTCGCGAACTCACCGTAACTGTGCTCACCGATCACCAATTCACTGGGTCAAGCCATCGTCGTCGTCGTCTCCTTAACTAGAGGGCGGCCTAGTCGAAGGCCTCTCGGAAGACTTCTTATTTTTTCGCATCGTCTTAACGGATGTTTTTTTTTTCCACCGATTCATTGTTTTTCCACCAAGTCATCCTGTCTGCTGCAGCTGTGGTGCCTGGAACTGTTCGAGTTTGCCGTGGACCGGAAGGAACCGGAAGAAAGGGAAAGTCCTGCCACCGAGTGGAAGTCGAGACACAGAGAGCGCATTTTTTCCCATCTTGTTCGCATAAGAAGTCGAGTCGAATGGAAACGACTCACATGACACTTTTCATCCGTTTTATGCCTCCTGGGGAAATGGGGAGAGAGGGAGAGGGAGTGAGGGAGGTGTTTACACATGCATAGAACCAAGTCTTGGTGTACCCCGACCACTTATGTATAAAGTCCTTCCCGTGCAGAAGAGGAGAGTGTTAGACAATTTATAGCTTCAATTGTTTGTCCATCCATATCGTTGTTTATATTTGACTATGAACCGTTCGAGGAACGAAGGCTGGCACACATTCAGGGTTCAAGCCAGGAGAAGTGCAATCCATAGCTCTTCTTTCTAGCAACAGACCACTGCTGCTTGTTGCAATCGTGAAAGCCTAGCACCGTAATGGCATTTCTTCAAGCCTCAAGACTCTTAGTTAATTATAGATTTATTTCCAAAGGCACGACTGGACCGACGATGGGTGGAACAATGAGGCCAATATAGTTCTTCTGCTTTGAGGTGAACCCTTTCGAGACGGAAGTTTTACAATAGTTGAATTTCGAAATTCACATGAGCCCACCCCGGTCTGAAAAGGGTCAAATCAGAGGAAGTCAGAGAAGACGAATGTGAAAGTGCCTGCCTTGTATGCGAGTATTTAGTGCCCCTGGTCAGATAGCTGTTTTTCCTCACTATTCACTTCCGTCGTTCGAGTTCTCCTCTTGAATGAAATGGTGGGCGGTAGGAAGTTCCTTCGCCTCCTTTCCGCCTATCCGTTTCCAAGCTTCCAGCTCCAAAACAAACGTGGCAAGAATTCGTGTAAAGGCATGCTTCGGCGAGGGAGAACACTGCTTAGGAATGGCCATTTCACGTCAGCACTTGCGAACCTGTCGGGCGGTAGTTGTCCAAAGGACGCGAAAAAATGCGCGAGAATGGAATGAAGAAACGGAAAGGCTACTTCGTGGAATCTTCGCCCCTGGGGAAACATTTCTTATATCACACAGCAAACGAAACTGTTTTTCAAGTGTTATCGCCTGCCTGGTGCGGTCTATTTCGAGATTAAAATTAAATGCATTAACGAGGCTATTTGCGAGCTGACATTTAAAAATCAGATTGGGTGTAAATTAGCGGTCAAGGGTGTTAACGGATTTCCCTGCAGTCTTGCGTAACGATGCCGATTTTTTTTTGCTCGTTCTGAGGAACGTGACCTGAGACCTTTGAGAGCATTTGGAGCCCATGATTGAATTATTCTGATAAGACAGGAGGAGTCATTAAAACATAGCAGCGAAACAAGTCCAACTGGAGCTTTCATGCAACAATGAATCACAAAGTTACTCAACACTTCGTGGCGTGCAAAGCGTTGTCGATTGTCTGCTCCTACCGTCTCTGCTCCCTCAATTCGCTCCCATGAAACTTTTGCAACCATGCTTGTTGTATACAAAGTTTCAACTATTTCAGGTGTCATTGCGAATTTTTCAAGGTTCACCCCCGTCTCAACCCCGCACCAATACGGTCGTGCTTAATTTTTAATCACTTGTATTAGTTTCAGCTGATTTTCCTCAATCAAGAAATGGTGTGCGTGAATCAACTAGTTTCCCAGCTTGGAGGAAGGGGGTTTAAGTTTTTCGCAAATTGGATTCCCAACACTTGCAAATCACCATCGACTTTGATGGTGTGCATGATTCGATTTTTAAAATAGTAGTCGTATTTTCGATTTGATCAAACAACAAAAATAGCGGTAGACAGAAGCGAGGGGGAGGGGGTCGACCGCGCAGCTGTTGCCACGTGATTTTGTCTTATCACGGAGTCACGTTCAGAGGTACTGGTGATGGTGGTTGTGTTTTCCGGCTGATAATTTACGTATACAAGGACAACGTTGGTCATTATCGTGCCTTGTTTCTTTTTGGGGAAATGTCGCTTCGATTTAGGCAATGTCACGACTAGTGGAAATTTGTGGCGGCTTTACAAAAACAGATAAACAAACAATATTTAACGCCATTGTCTGTGGCGGTCGGGGCTATGCGACCAAATAAAATCGATATCGGTGCTATCAACTAATTTGAATTATGCAGATTTTTTAACAAGGCTGGTGAATTTTAGGATTACTTTTTGATTAAATTTGTTCTTTTGACCTTTTCTTAGTTGTAAGTTAAGAGTTTTCCAAGCCTATCATTCAGGGAGCTTACTAACTTATTTTCAAATAATACGCTGGTAAGTTGAGAAAATTTCCGATGTGAAAAAATCCTCGACTGAACCAGGAACCAAACTGACTCATTCTACAACGTGGTTTTGAAACCGGCAATCCAGGCGTTCCCGGACAGGATCAGGGTGGTGCTACATAATTCTCTAGATGAAAGTCATTTCCCAAACAGCTGGAAGATGCAGAAACTAGTATTGCTGCTGAAGCCAGGAAAGTCTCCATGAGATCCATCATACTTTAATATACCCATGCCCCGTAACGTGGGTAGATCACCTATTCGTGGCAAGTTACGGGATGTAAGATTAACCATCGATTCCTAGTCCTGACTACTTCAAAGTGGGGGAACAGGATTTTTCAGTAATCAAAGGAACACATCTTAGTCCTTGTTACTTTTCATGCCTTGTTGATAGTGCTAAGTCCTCGGGTTGCCTGGACCGAGGATGATCTTGAAACAAGGAAAAAATGAGTTAGATAGTCTTCATCTATGTGATTCCTAATCTTCTATTCGTTAGATTCAAAGTGTTTTTATATTACTTCATATGCGAAGTTTGCGATTTTCAGAGTTGGTTGGAAATGCTAACATTAAGCTTTAGTGTGATAATTCATTAGCTAGAGAATGATCTTTAGAAAAGGGTGGATAGTTCCGTTAGAGTACGGCAGTATGAAAATTGAATAGAAGTTGAAAATGAGCGAAGGGCTATTAACGCGACAGTACAAAGTCAATTCTATTCGTTGTTCACTAGTTTGAAGTGGTTAAGACTAGGGTTCTGATGCATGGTCATTATCGGTGTCATTCCTTTATTTTGTTGCTAAGGAATCCAATTTTGACTGACAAAGGGGTGCTCCTTTCGAGGGTGTTTGAACACTCCGAAGGGTATAAATAGCGGGACCTTTCAATTAGAGTCGGATACTTGCGATAAATGCAAGAATGAATACTGAAAAAAAATCGGATACTTCATCATTTCTCATAGCATTGGGCGATCTTAAGGCAAGAATCGATCTAAGCGAATTGATTCATTTTTTTTTTTGAAAATAATCGATTCACCGATTTAATCATTTGTAATCGATCTTTTGGATCGATTCATTTTTCAAAATGGCACAACAATGTTTCAAATATAATGGATCATAGGAAAGTTGGTGAAGATTAACGCCAAGTTCAATCTAAAGTCGATATTTCGTTACATAAGCTATCTTGTTATGACATTGAATATTCGTTTTATTGGTATTAAATGAACGACTTAAAAAACGAAAAATTAACATATGAAACAAAACGATTAGATGGTTGGAGTGTAAAAGCAGGTAAGTACGGAAAGTACTTAATTCAGATATCGCAAAACTCATCCGAGAAGGATCCCAAAAAGCTAATTGAGCAATGCGTTTTGCATTGAGCTGATATAGATTTTGTGTGGTTTCACCAGTTTAAGACAATAGCCTCTCTGACGAAACACTTGATAAATAGTCTCGAGCAATGGGGTATACAGTCAGGAATCCTTATTGCCGGTTATCCTTATTGCCGGGCTATCCGCGAATAAGGATACCCACAGTTATGGGATTTTCACTAATAGGGGCTGTGGTGGATTATCTCATTTGTTTCAATATATAGAGCTATACGCTCTTGAACAAAGTTGTTGTACTGGGATAGACCAACAAACCTGTTTCATTGGATTCTGGTTTAATTGGGAACTACGCCGCTAGAGGCGCTTCACTTTTATGTTACTTATGGTGGGCGCTATAATATATGGATCTTAGGTCCAACATAGAATATTCTGTGATCCTGGCCATATAGAAAGTAATTGTCTTCAGCAAAGTTGTTCAAGTTACCAAGTCCTTTCGGATGGTGGCCATATTAGTTCAGAACTTTCTCACTACGCAGCGCTAGTGTACACATGAGCTTGCTATATAAGCTGTATCTCAAAATCCTGGCCATATAGAAGGTTACTGTCTTCAGCAAAGTTGTTCAGGTGATAATGTCTTTTTGTATGGTGTTCATATTAGTTCAGAACTCTCTCACTACGCAGCGCTAGTGTGTATGTAAACTTTCTATACAAACTGTATCTCGAGAACCTGACCATATAGAACGTTGCTGTCTTCAGCAAAGTTGTGCAGGTGACCAAGTCCTTTCGGTGGTCATATTATTTAAGAACTCTCTCACTACGTGGCGCTTGTGTGCACATGACCTTCCTTAATATGTTATGTCTGGAAAGCTTGTCCATATAAGATGTTGCTGTGCACGCAACGGAA